AGTTGGTCTGTTTGTGGTAACACCTTTTTGCATCGTTCTGTCTAAAAGGTTCTGGTGATATTTCGAGGCAGAGCTTTTTTCCTTTTTTTTTTTTTTTTTTTTTTTTTTTTTTTGCTAAGGTTGACACACATCTTACAACATCATGTCTTTGATGAGCACACACGGTGTTAATTGAGGTTGCCATGGGAGGCATGCACGTAGTATAAATAAGCTCCCTTCTTGCCATGTGATTTCGCTTTTGTATTCCTCAAGCCTCCTTTTTGTATTCTCTGTTTTTGCATATTGTCATATGGTGCATTAAAGATAAAAATATCTGCTGTCTCAGGGTGTAATTTCCCTAGCTGGAACTATAAGTGCATATGGAGCAGTGGGGAAAGGATTTAGCAAACCGTAGGAGAAGGAAATATGTGTGTGCCTGTGTAATAAGTATTCGCCATAATATGGGCAGTTATATAAAAGAAGAACTTTTTTACCACATAAAATAGCAAAATAGTACTTTCTGTGATGGAACATCACTGGGTTGACATCTTGTGGCCTTATTTTGCCTTTGGATATTGATGCTAATTAGTGAAAAAAATGTGCCATAGTGCATCCAGCCCTGGTCTGCCTCCCAAAATAAAATGTTTAGGGAGAAAAAACTTTTTAGTACTTTTAAAAAATTTCTCTACGGGTCTTACCACTCATTTATTGTGTTCCAGATAAAAAGATGAAAGCCCTGGTCGTGCTTTGCAGCAAATTTCATGTAACACGCGAGGGGAACTGAAGCAGAAACCAAAGCCAAGGCAAAGCAGCGTCTGACCTTGTCACTGGGGGGCAGAAAACAGCCGCTGCTTCCACTGGTGCATCCATCAAACTCCCTGGGCAATGTGGAATTGCAGAGAGCTCACAAAGTGCAAGTTCCTTCCAGGTCCGTGGGGTGAATAAAAATTGTTAATTCTTGGCTTGATTTGTCATCCTTTGGGGGAAAAAAAAAAAGGTATGTCAGCCTGGCCATTATACAGTTAGACCAAGCACAACTGGAAGTGGGTTGCTCCAGAGATGAGAGTGACTGAGGCCAGCAAAGCCAAGGAGAAGCCTGTTCAGCTGCACATCTACCAGGGATTCCTTGGAGAGGTGATAAAGTGAGTAATAAGGCAAAGTGGGAGTTATAAAGTGGATGCAACAGCTCCAGCAGAACTTCTTCTCACTGCCACATAGGCTCGTTACAAAGCAACAAACGTTATCTGGAAATCCGTTTGGGGAAAAAAATGCACTTTGAGCATCTCTGCAGTTCTTGTGTCTGAAGCATTGATCAAGAAAATCGGCAGCACAACGCCAACAAAGGAGAAGAGAATATGGTGAAGGCAGCTAAGGAAATTGAGATGGAGAACCCAAGAGAGGCAGAGACTCCCAGCACAGGGGCCACATGTTCCCCACCAGAGGAACAAGCTAAAAAACCCTCCATGCTGTGTTTTAAGAAGCGGAAGAAGTCCTGTAAGAAGGGGCTGACTGTGAAGGATGCGTGCGAAGGAGCCTCAGAGGAGAAAAGCCAGTGTGTCAGCGCTGACCAAGGGGAGGCCAAGGCTTCCAATCCACCACGATCCTCCAGAGGAACCTGGGCAGCCATCAAAAACCTTGCCAGGCCTCAGAGAAGGCAGAAATCCTCCTCACGGAAGAAGGTGCCCTCTGATTCCCAAGTGCAGCTGGAGGTGGATGCTGAGGAGAGCTGTGCGCAAGACCTCCCAAAGAAACGGGCGAGCTCTGGGGTGAAGATGCCCTGTGTGAGGTTCTCCAGAGGTAAGAAAAAACCCAGCCCCTCAGAAGCAGTGGAGGAGTCAGAGGGCAGTGCTCAAGCAAATGAAGTGATGGGTGTTGTGAATAAGGCTATTGAAGAGCCAGAGGATTCGGCCCCGACGGACAAGTCTGAATCCCTCAGGCCAGTCTCTGCACAGGAGGAGCAGGATACGGTGAAGCAGGAGCAGCATAGAATGAAGGAGGACCAGGATACAATGAAGAAGGACCAGGATACAATAAAAAAGGACCAGGATTCAGTGAAAGAGGACAACCATACAGCAAAGGAAAGTGACACCTCTGTTGGGAAGAGTGAGCCCCTGACAGAGCCCACACGGGATGCAGAACATTCGGAGTGCACTGTTCAGCTGGAGATAACCAGTTCAGAGACATTTGGTGAAATAGCCCAGGACAAACAGCAGGAAGGGAGTCTGCCCTCAGCCACAGACGATGAGGAGGGCAGGGCAGTTGCTCCCGAAGTGCCTGCTTCTAAAGATCAACCTGACAATGCCCCTGAAATCACAGAGTGCCAGGAAATCCCTCATATCTGCAAAGAGATGCCTGAAAGGGATGAACTGGAAAAGAGCATAAATCTTTCTAAGGAGTGCAAAGCTGAGGAGACTGTAACTGATTTCAGTGAGTTGTCATCCAGAGGTGATACAGTGAGTGTGCAGGAGGCAGCAAATGTGCAGGATGCAGTGAGTGTAAAGGATGCAGTGAGTGTGCAAGAGGCAGCAAATGTGCAGGATACAGTGAGTATGCAGGATGCCACAAGTGTGCAGGAGGCAGAGAGTGTGAAGGATGCAGTGAATGTGAAGGATACAGTGAATGTGAAGGATGTAGTGAGTGCACAGGAAGCAGTGAGCGGGCAGGATGCAGTGACTGTGCAGGATGCAGCAAGTGTGAAGGATGCAGTGAGTGCACAGGATGCAGTGAGTGTGCAGGATGCCACAAGTGTGCAGGATGCAGCAAGCGTGAAGGATGCAGTGAGTGTGCAGGATACCATCAGTGTGCAGGATGCAACAGGCATGAAGGATGCAGCGAGTGTGCAGGATGCCATGAGTGTGCAGGAGGCAGCAAGTGTGCAGGATGTCACAAGTGTGCAGGATGCAGAGAGTGCACAGGAGGCAGCAAGTGTGCAGGAAGCAGTGAGTGTGGAGGAAACAGTGAGTGTGCAGGAGGCAGAGAGTGTGAAGGATGCAGAGAGTGTGCAAGATACAGCAAGCCTGCAGGATGCCACAAGTGCGCAGGATGCAGTGAGTGTGCAGGAGACAGTGAGTGCCCAGGATGTAGCAAGTGTGCAAGAGGCAGCAAGTGTGCAGGATGCAGTGAGTGTGAAGGATGCAGCAAGTGTGGAGGATGCAGCAAGTGTGCAGGAGTCAGCAAGTGTGCAGGAGTCAGCAAGTGTGCAAGAGGCAGCAAGTGTGCAGGAGTCAGCAAGTGTGGAGGATGCAGCAAGTGTGGAGGATGCAGCAAGTGTGCAGGAGGCAGCAAGTGTGCAGGATGCAGCAAGTGTGGAGGATGCAGCAAGTGTGCAGGAGGCAGCAAGTGTGCAGGATGCAGCAAGTGTGCAGGAGGCAGCAAGTGTGCAGGAGGCAGCAAGTGTGGAGGATGCAGCAAGTGTGCAGGAGGCAGCAAGTGTTCAAGAGGCAGCAAGTGCACAGGAATGCTCCAGCCGTCAGATACTGGAAGCAAATGCAGGCGCTGGTGTCAGCATCGTCATCACCATCACCGAAGCTGAGGACTCTGACAATACCGACTCTGACCAGGCCTATGAGCCTTCCCCAGTTTTGCACCAAAAAAAGCAAAAAGGGAATAAAAAATCTAACAGGAACGCTGATGTTGGTCAAAAAGAGGGCCCTGAGGCTGGTGGCGGTCCCCAGGCAGAGGAGAAGGGTCTGGGTGACCAGGGCCACAGAACTGGGGAGCAGTACGAGCTGCTCCTCATAGAAACTGCCTCCTCCCTCGTGAAGGCGGCCATTCAGTCATCCATAGAGCAGCTGGTCAACGAAATGGCCCTGGAACAGAATAAGCACAACAGCTTTCTGTGATGGCAGCCTTGCCCAGAGAGAAAGGGCAGAGGGAGTGATTTCAAGCTCCGTTTGGCCTGCGGGATGTGAGGAGAACTGGGAGAGCTCCCGGGGCCGCGGTGTGGTTCATTCTGCATGCCCGTTCAGTTGTGTCCATGTGAAACGATCCCGGGACGTGGGCAGGCCCTGCTGAGGGCAGCGTGTCCCCTGGGCCTTCAGACAGCGCCACTGGCCACAGCTGCGGAAACATTAAGGTGTTACAGTGACTGTATTTCCACTTATTGGCACATTTCTGTCACGGCCACATCTCTGCTGTCCCCCATGCCCTGTTTCCCTGCTGTTCTCGCTGTAGATCTGTGCATACCACGTGTTGGAAGAAAGGCCCTGAGAGGCAGCGACCTCTGCAGACCTGCTGCTGGGGTGGATCCAGGGCATACTGAAACATCTGGAGCCTCGCTGGGCCTTTATTGCAGATGAGGAAGAGCAAAGTGTCTGCAATATTAACAAGAAATCATCAATGCCAGGCTGTGCTTTGTGCTGTGACTGGCCCTCGCTAGGCCCGGGCGCCAGGAGCCGCGGTCAGTGCTGTGGCCCGGAGCCGGCGGGTTCCAGCGAGCTCTCTCCTTCCTTCCTTCCTTCCTTCCCTCGGCCTCTCCCCTGTCAGGAGCAGCCTGTGCATCTCCAGACACGCTAAAGCTCAGCACATAAGCCTCGCCCTGCTGACCCCGGGCTGAAAACGACAGCACTTCGTCTGCTGGGGGAGCCTTTCTCGCACCATTGAACTCGACGGGCACAATTCCCTGCGGGATCACGGGCTTGGCCGGGCAGGAGCAGCCCTGCCGCCGCCAGCCCCTGGCCCCCCTCGCCTTCCTCCATCCCCATCCCGGTGTCGTGCTGAAGCTCTCCTCGGATGTAGCATATTTTTTTATCCATGGCATGCGATATAAATAGCAGTGAGCTGCATGCGTGTTAGCAGTCAGCAGAGTTTGGGAAGCTGCAATGTGCTGCCGGCACAGGCTGGGATTGCTTTGGTTTGGTCTGAGTGCCGCTGGCATCCCCGGCTGCTGGCGGAGCCTGTCCCGCACCGCTCCCCCCTCAAAGCCCTCCCGCCTCCATCCAGCCCAGGCATCCCTTGGGAATCGCATTGTGCCCGGCTCGCTGCCACCAGGCTCTGGCACGCCATGGAGCTCGCTCTGAAACATGCAGGGAAATGATGGAACAATTTTACCAAAGTCCTCAGGGAAAAAAAATCCTGACATGAGGACATGGCTGGAAAATGCCTGGACAATCCTACTGCTGTCAGACCCCAGAACTGCCCTGCCCGAGGGGTTTGCACCATGTGTGTGTGTGTGTGTGTGTGAGCATCACCTCCAGCTACCAGCACCCCAGGAGAAAGGAGCCTTTTAAAAATATGGGATTGCATCTGCGTGGCTGGGATTTGTGTCCAGCTGTGGGCAAGGCAGCGTGTTCCTCTGAGACAATTCTCCTGCGTGTTCCCCAGCTGGCACAGAAATAGCGGCAGTGCTTGGTGATTGCTCACTGACCGTGCACTGAGATTTCCCTGCCCAGCACAGGCTTTGGATTCCTGCTAAAATACAAGGGCTGTACCTGTCCCTCCTATCTGGTGCACAAACATGTTTTAAACCTTGATGAAAAAGCTCCTCGATATCACGAGAGGACTGCCAGCAGCAAGAGCCACAGCTCATCTCTGTGCAAGTGAAACTTAAAAAAACCCAGAGACTGGTAAAGAAAAAAAGTGTCTTTTTCTTCCTGTGAATTTGTTTATTATCAGCTATTGATAATTCAGTGTGTACAATTTTAATGGCTTTGTACTTCATACTGGTCCTTCCAGGTATTTTGCCATAGTTTTGAAAAATGGACTTTTAAAGGACTTTTAGACATACCTTTGGAGCTGCCACAGCTCACCGTAGGAAAAGCCATCCTGGTACTGGGAGAGGCTTACAGGATTACACTGGGCACTGTGGCAGGCTGGTGCTGAGCAGAGGGCTGCAGCATTGCTGTGGGATCCCACTGGAGTCAGCTGCAGAGGAGGATGTCCAAGCTTTAGTAAATAAACACAAAATAACCCCCCAGGGCCAGGCTGTCAGCCTCCTAAGCTGTTTTGGGAGGATTTGGTGTTATTTCAGTACTGCCTTTTAGGTGAAACATGTCTTCAAAAAAAGAGGAGAATGGCAAAAATGCCCAGTCCAGCCCTGCCCTGTGACTTGCTCCATGTCAGGGGTTGTGTTTGCATCCTCTCTTGTGTCTGGTTTTCCCTCTGTTATAGCTGTACATAGAACTGATGATTATTTCATTAAAGCTGAATGTACCTGTTGTTTTCTTGCCTTGTGATTGAGTGGGCAGCTATGGAGAGATTTTAGATGTGAAAGGATTAACTCACAGGGGTGCTCCATTGTGTCCAGCTTTTTCAGGCAGTCCTACAGTGAGCAGAGAGAAATCTTAATGTTGGTGGCAGATCCAAATTCCTTGGAGGTTTGCTCCTCCTCTGCCCTTTCTATGACATTTCCATTTGGTTGCTGGTCAGTCGTTTCTACTACAGAGTCCTGGCTGCCCAGGGACTGCTGTAAGGAATTTGTGAAGGATCACAAAATCTCTGGCAGCTAGGAAAAGCCACCCTGCTGCCCCAGGGTTAAATTCCCTGTTAGATACCCCATGGCACCAGAGGAAAATGTTTGAGGCTCTGCAGACTGACAAGGGTGGTGCTGACAGCGTTCAGGTTGGGGCTGGAATTTAGGGAAGGGGACATTTGGTGCTTTGGCACTTTCTGTGGCAGATCAAATCAGTCCCACACCCTCTTTTTTTTTTTTTTTTTAATAATGTCCTTCATGTAATTTAATTTCTTGGGACAGTTTAAAACATGCACAAAATATGATGGAAAGGTGTTATAAATTTTTAATAGTGTTAATACTATCTATTCTTTCAGGTTTACAGAACAAAATATAGGCTCATAACAGCTGCTAATGACTTAATTAAGACTCTCTGCTCCTTCCTTATGATTAGAGAGTAGAACATTAATAAAACATTTATTCTTTCATAGAAGGAATGATAAATTTACTATTGGGAAAGGGAACCAGGGAACCTGTGAGGATGTGGCTGTGCCACAGCACCAAAGGGTGGCCTGACTGTAGGACCATCATCCTCACCAACAGCTAAAATAATCCGGAATTATCATAGAATCACAGGATCATTTTCAGGTTGGAAAAGACCTCTAAGATCACCAAGCACTGCCAAGGCCACCACAGAACTGTGTCCCCAGGTGCCACATCTCACACCTACATATTATTTAAATCCCTCCAGGGATGGTGACTCCACCACTGCCCTGGGCAGCCTATTCCAATGCTGGACACTCCTCTCAGGGAAGAAATTTTTCCTGATATCCAATCATTTTGATAGCCCTATTCAGCTTCTGAGCTGTCTGGCTCCTTACCCAGAAATGCATTGCTTGCTGCCCTCTGAATTGTGGAAGTGGTTCTTCTGCTCACCCCACAGCCTGTGCTGCTGCTTTTGTCCCAGGTGTTCCCAGTGCTCTCCTCAGGGGGGACAATTCAGCTCTACATCCAACAATTTCCCTGTCCCTGCTTTGCTGTGTCATTTTGAATATTTTCATCTCCCACAGCTTTTTATGTTAACAGCAAAGAAAAGAGTGTTTAAATAGTATAACTCATACCCAAAAAGGCTTCCAGGGGGATAAAAAGCTTTTCTGTTAAGACAACACTGAGCCCAGCAGAAAACAGGTGCATCCATTGAAAAGTTCCTTGTGGAAACTGCCAGTAGACAATGATGGCACAAACAAATATTGCATTTTCTTTCCTGCCCTGGGACACCAGAAATGGATTAGAAATGCACAGGGGCAGATCTCCAGCTGCTGAAGGTCATGGCAGCTCCATGGGCTTCAAAGGACTGACTCTACAGCAGCCAGGAGCCTGGTGTTTGAATCCAAGGTGCAATCCCTGCATAAATCGTGGACATTCTCATATGCAACATGTATAAAAGGGAAGATGCAGTTGTGGGGGGTTTCGTTGTTGTTTTTGTGGAGTTTGGGTTGTTTGGTTTTGGTTTTTTTTCACAAATGCATGCAAGAAATTGAGTAAATTCACAAAATACATGGGAATCCTGGTTTGCACTTGGGATGGATGGATGGATGGATGGATGGATGGATGGATGGATGGATGGATGGATAGAAGCCAGACCCACATGTACAGGCAGTGAAGCCCTAATGCTTCCTGTGTTATAGATAGAACCTTTCAACATGAGTAACTCAAAATGAACTGCTCCAAGGAAACAGATTGATTTAAATAATTGCTTTAATATGATTTTACCTCTGCAGTTTTATTTCCCAGAGCAATGGTTCTTGTCAGCTCTTGTTGGGTACTACTAAAATAATGAAATACTTTTCATTTGCAAACGGACAAAATCTTAACATTAAATATGACTTTAAAAAACACCTAATCAGAGGATGTTATTTCTTATACAATATAGGTTAATGTTTTTTAGGAGGCACAGCTTTCACATGTCTTTCTTTTTGCAGAGAATTGTGAAGAGTGCAGTTCTGTGCCAAATGATGGGATTTTTCTGCTGCGAGGTTAAAGTCCACTTAGCCAAAAAGTGGATTTCAGCAAAAATACCCAAACCCAGCATTTTAAAGTAGGTTTCGTTATATAAAAACTGACAAACGGGCTGGATACAAAAGGGAGGGAGACAGTAAGAAAACATGTTTTGCAATTCAGATTGTTCAGATGAAAGTATCATCTGCAGCTCGAGCTGGCAGTCACCCTGTCAGTCCTCAAGTTAGACCTCGCATTGATCTGCCTTCCAAAGCTCTTTGATCTGGAAGAGGTGACACCCCCCTATCCAGCAGGGTCCCTTTCGGGCGCTGCCTTTCCAATGCCAGCTCCTTACCGGTGCACGGACACAGCGAGCACTGCTTTGTTCCTGAGAGATTTCCATCTGGAGAGGGATGGATGTCATCCCTGCGCCCCAGCGCCCGTCACTCGTGTCCCGTTTGCTCTCACCATTTGCCATTTTAATGAAGGCTCGAGGCCGCGGCGTGTCAGGGCTCGGTGCGGTGACAGCT